GACCCAGCCAACCTGGCCTTGAGTGCTTCCAGGGATGGGGCACCACAGCTTCTCTGGGCAGCTGTGCCAGAGCCTCACCAACCTCTGAGTAAAAAAATTCCTCCTATAGCCTAAATCTCCCTTCTTTTGATTTAAAACCATTCCCTCTTGTCCCATTACCATCTGCTCATGTAAAAAGTCAGTCTCCTTCCTGCTTATAAGCTCCCCTCAAGTACAAGGACACCACATTTATGTCTCCTCAGAGCCTTCTCTTCTCCAAGTTTAACAAGCCCAGCTCCCTCAGTCTTTCTTCATAGCAGAGGTGTTCCAGCCCTCTGATCATCTTCATGGCCCTCCTCTCAACTCACTCCAACAGCTCTGCATCCTTCCTATACAGGTGGCCCCATGCCTGGATGCAGTACTCCAGATGGGGCCTCAAAAAGGCAGAGCAGAATGGGACAATCTCCTCCCTCTCCCTGTTGGCCACCCTTCTTTTGATACAGCCCAGGATACAGGGCTCAAAGCGCACACTGCTGGCTCATGTCCAGCTTTTCATCCACCAGAAACGAACTGCCAAATGCTTCTCTTCCAGGCTGCTCTCAATGAGTTCTTCTCTCAGAGTGTGCATGTTTCTGGGATTGCCCCAGCCCAGATGCAACACCTTGCCTTACTGAATCTCCTTATGTTCATGTGGGCCCATTTTTCAAGCTTGTGGATGACTGAGTGGTTGGGGGCACTCTCTTATGCCACCTTACGACCTGAGCCCCTGTCACAGGAGCTTACTCTGGGAGGGAGGCTGAGACCCAGTAACCTGAAAGGCTCACTTACATTTAAGTGAACTAATTAAGGAAGCATGCTAGCTAGTGTCTTTTTTTTTCTTTTTTTAGCTCCCTCATTCACCTGCAGGGTTTTAATTTTTTTTTTTTTTTTTCTCAGAACCTCAGAACCTTAAGACAGAACCTTTAGAAAGCAGATCTGAAACCCAGCTGATGCATACAAACCACTGAAGGTATTTAAAAATGGAAAAATGGTTTATATAGGGCCCTAGTATTAGTTCCAGAAGTGAAATGTGTTTCACAGCTCTGAGAATTGTTAACACAGCCACTGCCCTCTGTCAGTATTACTGGTAACTGGAAGTAGAAGTGTTGACAAAATGTGAAATGCAGCTTCATTTTTCCTGCAAACATCAAGAGATGGGACCAAGAAATGATCCTTATCTCTCAGCTGGTAGTATTTCATTTTTTCTTTTCAAAGGTAAGCTTGAAGCACTGTGACGCCCCAAATCACTGTGTAGCCATGCGGTAGTTGAGAGAGCGGCTTACTTCCATTTTTTCTCCTAGAAGCAAGCCTGTGGCTGCAGGAAAGTCACCACAGCTCCAGGCATCCTCATCTGTTCCTTTTAAGGAGGAGGGGTAGGCCATATGTCATCATGTCCCTGAAATACATGAGCAATAGCTCCACAGACTTCTTAAACAGCTGCTTACTGTGCACTGATTGATATAAATGAAAATCCACAGTAAAACAGAAAGAATCCTTCAAGATTTTACATTGATTAACTCACTAGCATGTACCACATTTCATTAACCTCTGTCTTTGTGCAAATTTCCCTTGAACACAATCAAGTTTCCATTTTAATTTTAATAGAGTGGGGCATTTGGTTAAAAATATATCCATGAAGGAAATCCCTTCCAAATAAAAGAAATTAAAGATGTAGTTAAGATTGCAAGTGATAACAGGGGATTGTGAGAGGGGGAGCCAACTATATCCTGGGCTGCATTAAAAAAGTGGTGACCAGCGGGGAGAGGGAGGTGATTGTCCCCCCTCTACTCAACTCTTTCAAGCCCCATCTGGAGTACTGCGTCCAGGCCTGGGGCCCTCAGTACAGGAAAGACGTGGAGCTCTTGGAGTGAGTCCAGAAGAGGGCCACTAAGATGATCAGAGGGCTGGAGAACCTCTCCTATGAGGAAAGGTTGTGGGAACTGGGCTTGCTTAGCTTGGAGAAGAGAAGGCACCTGGGAGACCTCATTGTGGCCTTCCAATATTTGAAGGGAGCGTAAAAGCAAGAGGGTTTACAGGGGTTGATAGTGATAGGACAAAGAAGGAATGGTTATAAACTGAGACACGGGAGGTTTAAGTTGGAAATTAGGAGGAATTTTTTCACTCAGAGGGTGGTGATGCACTGGAACAGGTTGCCCAAGGAGGCTGTGGATGCCCCATCCCTGGGGGCTTTCAAGGCCAGGCTGGATGTGGCTCTGGGCAGCCTGGTCTGGTGGTTGGCGACCCTGCAGGTCATTCTATGATTCTGTGAGCCTGTGTAAGCTGCTCTCCTTTTTTGGCTGCTGTGTCCAGAGTTTGAAAAGTAATGTTCCTAGAAGTGCTGCAGATATTTGGAATGATACTGTTGATGTGACCATGGGGCATTGAAGGTGGAATTGTAGCCCACTCTTTACGCACTCCTCTTGTTTCTTTGGGGGAAAACATTTTGGGTCAGGCCTTGTGTCTCCTGGCACACACACCACGTGAGCCTCGCTGCCTCCTCCTGCCCCACCGGCTTTGTAGCTGACCTTCCTATGAGGTATCTGGCATGTAACTTCTGACTGCTGAAATCTGCAGCTTTGAGTGAACTTCCCAGTCAAGAAGTTCCCACCAGGAAAGCAGCTAATGGCTCAGAAGATCTCTTGTAGCTGAGTGAATATGAGTTCATTTGCCTTAGGAGATTTCCTACAGTCATCACATTACATCATTGTGTTATTCAGATCATATAGGTAATCTTACTATGCTAATTAAATTAACTCCAGATATTTCTGTCCTTACTGAAGCACAAAATCAGTCAATAGATGATGCCATTGCTGTCCGTGCTAGCACAGGCTGCCCAGTGATTTGTGCTTTGAATGTTCCACTATAGCGGTAAGCACACAGAGGCTGGACATTCAAGTTTTCATCTCACAGGTCAAGAAAGGACATTTGCACAAGGACCAAGAGGTCTAACTAAAAATCTGTTTAATGAGACTATCAAGTTAGCAGCAGGTTCTCCCATCCCAAAGGAGGTTGGAATGCCCTCTGCAGATCGCTCCTGGCTTTGCAGGGACTTGGGAGTGAAATGGCTGCTTTGCCCATGCTCCGTGGTTTCAGAAATGCCACAAAGGCCCTAGGAACAGGGTTTGCTGGGTGCGAGTGGCTTTCCCTAATTGCTTTTTCCTGTGGGACATGCAGCTCCTCTGAGAGAGGCACAATGCAGCCCAGAGGAATGTGCTGGATGGGTCACGTAAATGCCGTGTGCCAGACCTGCAGGCAAAGCGCTGAGTGATCCAACAAATATAAATTATTAAATCTGTATTGAAAGATAAGCTTGGAAATACCTTCTAAGGCTGTGCACAGGCTCCTGATTTAGTGAGATATTTGATACTAAATATGGTCTTATCCAAAGACTGCCCTTAAATCAATCCTTCTGGCGAGTGATGCGTACCCATTCCAATTTGAAGATAGCAGCAAAACCTACAGAATTTATGTTTAAGTTCTCAACAATAGAGGCAGGAAACAGAAAACAGATCATTGTTTTGATTCTAGTATTTTTTGTATGGCAAGCCACTTCCTTGCCAATCTTAACATTTCATTCGTTATATTCTTGCTGAGTCCCAATATGAGTAGTCATGAGTATGGGCTTCTGTTCATTTTTTTCAGAACAGCCAAGTACAATAATTGTAATTCAGCTTCACCACTGATCTCCAAAGTACTTCTTTACCATCCAGATTTTTTCTCTAAGTCAGCACTACTACGTTAGATCAGATGAGATCCAGTGAGCAGGTAGAGAAAGGAGCCAAAAAATGAACCATTTGCCTCATACGATGCCATGATAAGTAATTTCATGTGTTTCCAAACATTTGTACCTCATCTAAGCATGAGACTTTGTTATCTGGTTAATTTCCATTGTTTTTAGAATTTTTGTGTAAGCACTAGATTCTTTCATCCTAAGTGTTTTCTTGTTCTGAATTTTGCTGAATCTCACAGGGAAAAACAAAAAAAGAACTTTTCCTATTTTTCAGTTTAAAAAGGTAATTCTTGACACTATTTAAGTAATGCAGCATATAGAGTGCTCAGTAATGGATACAATCATCTAATTTAATTCTGTGGGAAGGTGGACAAATTCAACCCATATTTTTTGACACCATACACCTAATAGCTCTCAGTGACACTGTCTGTCTTTTATGAACTTGATATCAATCAGTTGACTAAATGGCTGTTAATAGTGCTTAGGAACAGTGTTACACAGGGCCCTGTGTATTTTAATATGATTCAGATTTGGCCTCTCTGTGTTCAACTGATTCAATCAAAAGTAGAAGGAAATAAACACAAAAATATCTTAATTGCTCTCTTTTTTTGTCTAAGATCAACTGATGCTTACAGAAATAACACTATTTTAATGTGGAAATGTGTCAGAAAAAAAAAAAGCCATTTCTAACTTCATGTGATGGCAACAATACTGTATGGCTATTAATAGCTGTCATTGTTTGCATACATATATAATCATTCTGCAAATAAAATATCAGATTAAGAAAGCATTTATAAATTGGTTTTGTTTTAAGTAGATACAAACACAAGAGGATATTCTGGAGCAACATTCTCCATACCAGAAAGGATTAAATGTACATTTGTAATAATCATAGAATCATAGAATGGTTTGATTTTAGGAAGAAATTCTATACTGTGAGGGTGGTGGGACACTGGAACAGGTTGCCCAGAGAGGTTGTGGATGCCCCCTCCTTGGAAGCATTCAGGGTGAGGATGGATGGGGCTTTGAGCAACCTGGTCTAGTGGGAGATGTCACTGCCTGTAGCAGGGGTTTGGAGCTAGATGATCTTATAGGTCCCTTCTAACCCAAAATATTCTATGATTCTATTATTCTGTCTTATGTGCAATGGAAACAGGACAAAAGGTGTTTCAGATTATTTATGGAATATGAAGATCTCTGCAACTTTCAGGTCTATACAATGAATTCAAAGCCAGATCTTCCCTTCTGATGAGTCATTCCTGTAGTTATTCAGAAAGCTGTATGAAAGAGGTGGGAAATTTCAGATATTTTTCATTTTAAAAAGGCACCCTTAGTTCACACTCAGACTACAGAGTCAGCAAACAAAGACAAAACCTTTTGCTAGACGAAATAGCCAGAGATTTTTCACAACAGTTTTAGGATGACTGGACAAGAGAAGCCAAGTGCCCCCAGGGGTACTGATTGTATACAGGGCCTGTGGAACATAGCAGTTAAATAGAGGGAGAAAATAACTTGGAAAAAGAAGTGAATTTTCCTCTTGTGGGTGTAAAATAGAGACTGTGATGGGTGCTGGACAGAGACCTTTTCTTCTGCTTCTGATGCAGTGAGATATACAGAATTAAAGCCTGTTATTTGTCTATCCTGAGCTTAGCACTTCACTAGAGTTAGGGAGGGGAGATTGCCAGCCTCCTCTGCCCATGCACTCTCTTGCCTTTCACTGACGGGTGCACCTGGTCACACTGTGTTGGTTCTATGCTGTATTTCCTTCCAGCATTCGTCTCTGGCTGCATGGCAAGGCTTGTGGCAGAGAAGGCCCCCACGTGATGAGCTCCCTGATTGACACCTCTTACCTCCAGCTGGCTTCCTTTGCACTGGGGACAGTAGGCTGGATTCTATGCACCATTTCCATGGGACTTGTGGAGTGGAGAGTGTGGCATGTGGACAACACCACCATCATCTCCTCTGGCATCGCCTGGGTGGGGATTTGGAAAGTCTGCTTCATCAGTTATATTCATGTCTCACCTGGCTATGAAGAGCAGTTCTGCCATAAATTCAGTGGTTATGACTCCTCCATCCCTGGCGAAATCTATGCTGCTCAGGGTCTCCTGGTGATTGCCATGGTCATGGGATTGCTGGGACTGATCGCCACAATATGTGCTCTGAGAAATATTTATATGGGAATCAGTCGTAAAACTGCCATTACCCGTTTCTTCCTGGTGGGTGGCTTCTTCTACGTATTTGCTGGTCTGTGTGTCCTGATTCCAGTGAGCTATAACTTCTATTCTGTAACACATAACCAGAGCATCGCCTTCCCTCCCTCCTACCTCATGCCCTCCAGCCCCGTGGCACAGGAAGCTGGTGCTGCCATTCCCATTGGGATTATAGCTGCCATCCTGCTGCTGCTGAGCGGGGTCTTTTCTCTCTCCTATAGATTTCCTGTAACCACAAACACATGAAATCCTGATGGGATGAATTGCACCATACATTTTCAGAGTATGGTCAAAATATAAGGATGGCAGCACAAGTGGTTCTTCAGACAAGAAACTACAGCATTGTAGTCCACAGTAGCCAGCATATGTTGTTATAAGACTGAACTATCATGTTGATTGCCATGTGTGACCAGAAGTTTGTCTTTGAGATCATTGCTGTTGAGCAGCAATGCTAATTATTAAGCTTTATCAGTTGTCCTCTTCATATATGTATATACAAACTCTATTGATTAACTTATTTTTTGTGCCAGATATTTACTGTGTTCAAAGAGCCGTCTCTGATTTCATTGTCCTATTAGAAATACGTGGAACAACACATGTGCAATACATGGAATGACACGTGAAATGTGATTTTGTTTCCTTCTTTGTACTAAAACATTTTGTCCATTGTTAATATCTGTAGCAAAGTACATTTTGTGGCAAGTTGAGACTTTTGATACAAACAAAATAAGTGTCATCATGATTGTGTCAAATGAGTGTTTGTTTCCTGAATTGTCTTACAAAGATATCTAGCCAATTTCCCCTCTTGCTCCAGGGCACATAAAGAGCTGTTTCTTTATGTTTTTCTTTCAAGCTATTTGCATCTTATGTTGCAACACGTCTGCCTGTAGGCAAAGTGCGCTTTTAGTTCCTCACCTGTGCAGAGCCAAAAAGTCTGCAAGGGTATGTTTCCTCATCAGATGCTTACCTGAATCCAAAGGTATTGCAAAAGATGGAAGCAGTGTCTACAAGTTACTGCAAAACTGCTGCCAAAATCAGTGTTCTTAGTAACTGGGAATATTCAGTAGAACTTTATAAGTGTGATTCATCTAACCTGACCCAGACATCTGTACCTAAACCAGTCACTTTAGTCTTTGTTTATAGTCAGTGCAAAGAGAAAGACAGTCTAGACAGAAAAAGACATCTGTCTAAAATAGATGCCTAGAGTAGCTGGAAGATGACATGCTCCCAGAAAATCTCTCTTAATTCATTGTAATGACTAATAACTATGTTGCTAACAGGGGAGTACACAACCAAACTTTACCTAAGCCAGATAAAATTAGATGAAAAGAAACTGCCATCTGAGTGACATTTCCTGTGCCAGTGACACTGAAAAACAAGAAAAGAAGAGAGGAAGGATGGAAAAAAATGCACCAAACACAGCAATAAGGGAAATAAAATTAAAAAAAAAATCAAGAGGTTGTATGGCAGGAATGAGTAGATAGTGCTGACAAGTTGATGACCCGCTGAAAACAGGCTCTACAAAAAGTGATTACAGTTTCAAAGAAATGTAATAAGAATTTAAGTGATCTAATTGTACTGGTTTAACTATCCTTGATTTTCTCATGGAGCTAGAAAAAAAAGAAAAGAAAATGTAAAAAAAAAAAAAAAAAGTGCCAGCAAGCCGGCTCATATTGCTTGTGGCTGTTACCCATGAAAAGTACTCCTGCTATCTTTAAGTTGTGGAGACAAAGAACGAAAAGCAACTCAGTGTTTGGCAAACCTCCCCTTTTCTCACCTTCAGGGAAAAGGTAACTCTCCAGGTTCTCAAACTGTCATCAGCTCTGCTGCCTATGCTTGCTTTCTCCCAGGATCCTGTTTAATATTGCCTCTTTTTGCCCCACCAAGATTGCTGTTACTTATTCATTTCTGGCTTAAGTGTCACTACCACTGAAACTATCATATATGTATATAGATCTAAGGAATGCAGTACTACCTCATTTTCTCCTACCATTCCATTGTTTCTTCTGCATCTTCCACATGGTCTTGTCTTTGTTCTGCTGATTTCCTACACAGAATCCCTACAGCACATTCATTCCCTCTGGTCTTCTCTCTTTTCTGAGCCATCATTTGCAATTGATGAGGCGTAGTTTTTTGTCTTTGGACTGTTTGCAGTGCTGCAAAGCTTTCTAGTGGTGTACTGGTAAAGGCTCATGCTTTCGTAACTTGTTTATTCAATGTTGTTTCTACTTTAATTTCTATTGTACATTCTGTACTACACCGGTATGTTTTTTAAATGTGCACACCAACAGAACTGTTTTCTCTTCCCACAGGGATCACAATGATATTAGATATTATCTTTCTGCTGTTGTAAGGCAAATAAGATGTATTCATGTGTCAATGCCAACATTTCCCTGCACAAATACAAGACCAATATTTCCTCAGAAGGAACTTGAGCTTTAACAGCAAATCACTGATTTTACAACCTTTTCTGAGCTCACATATATACAGAAATTTATATGTGTATTAATTCAGTATATTTACTAAATGACTGGGTTGGGTCCACATTTACTTTTCTTAGCTCAAGGAGAAAGCAACAAACAGCACCGCATAGCTGTTTCCCTCTGTTGGTCCATCCTGATATATGACTGTAAAACACTCACCGTGGGTCAAATGTAGATGAGGTGTTGAGGAAAATCCCTAGTTAAATACTGACATAGACTACCTAAGGAGGTACGTGTATTTTAAAAATTCAGTTTTGTTAAAAATAAATTTAGATAAATATTGCTATGCACAGCATAATTAAGCCTCAGGGGAGAGGAATGGTCTAGTGGAGCTCTTGGTGTCCTTTCCCATTGTACTTCCAAGGTTTCTAGTGCAGGAAACTATTGATAGTTACATGGTCCAGATTATACTTTGGTATATATTAACTTGTAGCCTATGGTCAAATACCAGGGAATATTAAAACTCAGTCATTCCATGAAGAATAGATAGGAGAGAATAAATTTTAGCTGAAAATAAGGAAGAGGCAAAACTCCTATTGGTCTTCATGGGATCAAGCCTGTCTAATCTTGACCCCTCCAGGCTGAGTGATTCATTAAATTCTAGTGGATGTTTACATTCATTAAGATTTTCGAACTGGAGGAAAGTAAATTTCCTGTGCTTTTACTTTGTGAGTGAGGAGGCACAGCCACTCTGTGCAAATCTTTGTGATGCATCATTCAGAGAATTTTAAAAATTAAATTACCTTTCAGTAGTTCCATTTGTTACCATTTCACTTGGTCTCGTACAGCTATTTTAGGGATGTCTGCAAAATCAGACAGCTGAAATGATTGGGATTTAATCAATCCCAGAAAATGCAAAACTTTTCCAAAAGGTTATTTTTAATCTTGATGACTTTAGGAAGCTACTCTGCAGCCTGCCCCCACCATCATTTATAGAAGGACAACTGAGGACAGGCAACAAGCTGCAGCTCAAAGCCAGGAGTGAGCAGTCAGGGCCTCGAGGGAGAGAGATAAGACTAAGAACCGCTAAAGCAAATTTCACCACAGAACAGATGATATCACAAAGCTACATCTCCAGCTTCAGTGCAAACTGGGACCTGCTGCATCTCCAGTGACAGCTCTGCTCGTTCTGTGGGTTCCACCCTGTCTAGGAATGTCTCCACCGTGGCCTCAGCTTACATGTAAGTCAGCCTTTCTTTATTTTTCTGAGTTGACAATAAACAAGTGTCTTGTGATTAGCTCACATGCCTGAACACACTGCTGGGATAATTATCTGAATACCAAAAAACCCTCTTTCAATTCTGCTGGATATCCAGGCATAATGATAAGGCATCCATCTTTGACCTGCAGAACATACTCCCAGATGCTATTGTACCACATGATGCATTTTGTTAACCTTGTTTCTATTTCTGTCTACCGTACCTGTTTAGTTGTGGCCACAGACCAAAATGTGTATGAATACATTAAATATTCCTCCAAAAATACATAGTACTGGAAGAAGTTGAAAACACCTGACAGTGAAACAAGCCAATGGTACATGTCTACTGGGATTTCCTGCCTAGCTGAATGTGTAATTCTGACCTATATCATTTTTGTTAATGTTAAGGAAGAAAGAGGAACAAAGAGACACTGTATTAGAAAGTAGGTCATCAAATTATTTGGGTTACACCAACAAACGTTTTTTCAATTCAAAAGTCAGCAGTTTTACATGAAAATAATCTTAATTGCTGACTTTAGGTTCTTCAGTTTCTTGAAAACAATGCTAGTATCAGAAAGCAATGTCTTTGTTGTCACATGGCTTATGGTATATTACAACGAGAGTAAGAGTGTTATTCAAGAGAGCTATTTTTAGACTTTGGAACATTTTTCCCTTAGAATGGAAAAACTGAAATGTCACAGGCGATTTCCTGCTCTTTAGGACCTTAAAATACTTCAGGACAAAGAGTTTTTTACTTGAAAAATGTAAGTCTAGCTGGCATAGTGTTTAACAGCAAATTGTTTTCTTAAAATAAGAAACCAACGTACATTAAATTAAAGGCTCTCAGAAGAGACATGTTCTCTGTGAAAATGCACCTTTTTCAAAACTGAAATGGAATTCCTTTCATTCTTGTCAATATGTGTATGGTCAGATCCAGTATCAGCTAATAAATACATATTTTTCAACCAACATATTCCCTTCCCTCATGTAATCTACTCTATTATTTCCCTTGCATAAGAAAGGTGAATTGTTCAGTAATTACCATGATGCTTTGAAGCTGCCAGTAACTGTGTCAAAACCAACTATATTCCAATCAAGAAAATGTAAGTCAATCTCATCTCAGAATTACAAAGCCAATAAACACCAATAAATACTGGCTTGTAATTTGGAATGGAGTATAGTATGCACTGTTAAGCCCCAGTTCCCGCAAAGTCACATTCTGCTTTTCTCCTGGGATATATATGGAAAAGACGAGGTGCAAAGTTAACACCCACAATTATATTTTGAAGAAACACGTAAATTTTAAGAGGGATTTTATGTCCAACACCATCCAAGATTACTACTCATACAAGATGTTTTTCAGCAGCTGAATATGCAGACCCATTATTGGATAAAGTGGCACATGTGAAAAAATAGATTCAGCTTTGAATGTTGCCAAAATATCGGTAGTTATCTGAGATTAGCAGGTGTGAACAAAAACTGTATGTAGAACTGGAATTATTTTATTTTTGGAGATGCTGGAAGTGCAAATTGAAACAGCTTCTCATCTTTACACTCTTGGAGGATCTATGTAACATCAAGTAGCTGGCCATTGTCAAAAGAAAGGACTATGCCCCAGAGGGAATTTGAGATCACACAAAGCCAAATTCCTAGTGAATTGCTCATGTAAAAATATGGCCATCAACATAGTGGACTTTCAGAATGCTTACTGAAAAGCTTGCCAGCTGAGCATCTCCAACATGCAGAATAATTGATTTCATTGTACCTCAGTACTTTATTCCATCTGAGCCTTGTTATTACACGTATGTGTAAAATATGACCCATAGGTGTTCTGTGTAACAGTTTCCTATTTGTAAACTGAATCATAGAATCATAGAATCATAGAATCATAGAATCATAGAATCATAGAATCATAGAATCACAGAATCATAGAATGGCCTGGGTTGAGAAGGACCACAATGATCACCTAGTTTCAACTCCCCTGCTGTGCAGGGTTGCCGACCACTAGACCAGGCTGCCCAGATGCCTCCAGGGATGGGGCATCCACAACCTCCTTGGACAGCCTGTTCCAGTGCATCACCACCCTCTGTGTGAAGAACTTCCTCCTAATATCTAACCTAAAGATAGTATCAACTTATAAAATGTTA